TCCACCCCCCTCAGTGTGGGAGTGGAAGGCAGCATCCACTCTCCTCAGTGTGACATCTTCAGTAAGTCTTACCGGAGTCAATATAAACAGTATCATATTCATTACCATCATCTTCCTCCGCTAATATTTACCTCGGTGAACAAAGTTAGTAAATTCGTAAGTCAGGAAGGTCGCTTTGTACAACCTTGCTGAGATCGATCAATTTATGTCTTTGAAGGATCACTTTGAATAGCCTCGGTAATTATCGATTCCAGTATTTTTTCCCCTCCATCATAGATTAGGCTAATTGGTCTATAGTTCGAAGCTAGAGACCTGTCTCCTGCTTTGTAAATAGATATCACTTTTGCCATTTTCCTTCTATCAGGAACTATGCCAGTTTGTAGTGATATGTTATACTAGCCATATAAATCCCCGCCCGGGAATCTGTATGTTTTTGATTCATCTAGTTATCTGAGAACCGTGTTACAAGTGACTTTGATCTCGAATAACTTATTTTCGGTCTGATTTACATAATTTTGGGTTTCTGGAATTTCTCTGATATCTTGCTGCGTAAGAATTGAGAGGAAATAAGTGTTGAAGATACTACACATTTCATTTTAAGTGGGCCAATAATATCCCTAATCTTACTTCTACATACCTGAAACATTTGGATTAATTTTCGAATCCCCTTTGACTTTAACTTAATATCTTTTTCCTTTTCTTATTCCTTTTCTTGTTTCCCTTTTAAATGTATTGATTTTTAAGTGTTTTTCCTTCTTGATTCGTCTGTAAATGCCTTTCATTTGACCTGTGAGATGTAATATATTGTTTATCCATTTAGGGTCATTTTGTTTGAGAGAAAGTTATGAAACTTAAGATTTCCTGTAAAACTGCTAAAATCAGATTATACAAAATTTAAAATCCGCCATTAACACATTTTCGTATCTAGATGCCTTAATAATTTTGTATCTAGATGCCTTAATAATTTTGTATAGTAGAAGTTAACTTCGTTCCCTGTCAAGGTTTGGTGGCTGTAAATCACTCCCATTACCTGACATGACATTCTCCAACCTGTTTACTGTGTCACCAGCAACATCAACATCTCCGGGAAAGCACCATCTCTGTCTCACCTTCCTGTCTCTGCTACAGAAAGCATTGTCCATATATTTTACCTGTGGGTTATCGACCCCATGGATATTCCAACCTTTATTAGCAGAGGAGTTAGTGGTACCTTTATCCCCACTGACCACTGAAGTATATTCGTCCTGGAGAACAGAGAAGCGATTTACTACTTTCAAAATTTCTCTTTTAACCTTCGTTATTTAGATATTTGTCTCTTTACTGGCAACCGCTTCCCAGTTTTGTTATTTGTCAGTGTATTTGATACCGTGAGCATTGCTGGTAACCTGCGCTTCACTGCTTTGCTACGTACTGGAGGGTACCATACTGGTGCTACGTACTGGAGGGTACCATACTGGTGCTACGTACTGGAGGGTACCATACTGGTGCTACATACTGGAGGGTACCATACTGGTGCTACATACTGGAGGGTACCATACTGGTGCTACGTACTGGAGGGTACCATAGTGGTGCTACATACTGGAGGGTACCATACTGGTGCTACATACTGGAGGGTACCATACTGGTGCTACGTACTGAAGGGTACCATACTGGTGCTACATACTGGAGGGTACCATACTGGTGCTACGTACTGAAGGGTACCATACTGGTGCTACATACTGGAGGGTACCATACTGGTGCTACATACTGGAGGGTACCATAGTGGTGCTACATACTGGAGGGTACCATGCTGGTGCTACGTACTAGAGGGTACCATACTGGTGCTACATACTGGAGGGTACCATACTGGTGCTACATACTGAAGGGTACCATAGTGGTGCTACATACTGGAGGGTACCATACTGGTGCTACGTACTGGAGGGTACCATACTGGTGCTACATACTGGAGGGTACCATAGTGGTGCTACATACTGGAGGGTACTATACTGGTGCTACATACTGGAGGGTACCATACTGGTGCTACGTACTGGAGGGTACCATACTGGTGCTACATACTGGAGGGTACCATACTGGTGCTACATACTGGAGGGTACCATACTGGTGCTACATACTGGAGGGTACCATACTGGCGCTACGTACTGGAGGGTACCATACTGGTGCTACATACTGGAGGGTACCATATTTGTGCTACATACTGGAGGGTACCATACTGGTGCTACATACTGGAGGGTACCATATTTGTGCTACATACTGGAGGGTACCATGCTGGTGCTACGTACTAGAGGGTACCATACTGGTGCTACATACTGGAGGGTACCATACTGATGCTACATACTGAAGGGTACCATAGTGGTGCTACATACTGGAGGGTACCATACTGGTGCTACGTACTGGAGGGTACCATACTGGTGCTACATACTGGAGGGTACCATAGTGGTGCTACATACTGGAGGGTACTATACTGGTGCTACATACTGGAGGGTACCATACTGGTGCTACGTACTGGAGGGTACCATACTGGTGCTACATACTGGAGGGTACCATACTGGTGCTACATACTGGAGGGTACCATACTGGTGCTACATACTGGAGGGTACCATACTGGCGCTACGTACTGGAGGGCTCCATACTGGTGCTACGTACTGGAGGGTACCATACTGGTGCTACATACTGGAGGGCTCCATACTGGTGCTACGTACTGGAGGGCTCCATACTGGTGCTACATACTGGACGGCTCCATACTGGTGCTACATACTGGAGGGCTCCATACTGGTGCTACATACTAGAGGGCTCCATACTGGTGCTACATACTGGAGGGTACCATACTGGTGCTACATACTAGAGGGCTCCATATGTGTACTCTAGTCCATACTGGTGCTACATACTAGAGGGCTCCATACTGGTGCTACATACTAGAGGGCTCCATACTGGTGCTACATACTAGAGGGCTCCATACTGGTGCTACATACTGGAGGGTACCATACTGGTGCTACATACTAGAGGGCTCCATACTGGTGCTACATACTAGAGGGCTCCATACTGGTGCTACATACTAGAGGGCTCCATACTGGTGCTACATACTGGAGGGTACCATACTGGTGCTACATACTAGAGGGCTCCATACTGGTGCTACATACTAGAGGGCTCCATACTGGTGCTACATACTAGAGGGCTCCATACTGGTGCTACATACTAGAGGGCTCCATACTGGTGCTACATACTAGAGGGCTCCATACTGGTGTACATGCTAGAGGGCTCATACTGGTGCTACATACTAGAGGGCTCCATACTGGTGCTACATACTGAGGGCTCCATACTGGTGCTACATACTAGAGGGCTCCATACTGGTGCTACATACTAGGGGCTCCATACTGGTGCTACATACTAGAGGGCTCCTTTACTGGTGCTACATACTAGAGGGCTCCATACTGGTGCTACATTACTAGAGGGCCCCATACTGGTGCTACATACTAGAGGGCTCCATACTGGTGCTACATACTAGAGGGCTCCATACTGGTGCTACATACTAGAGGGCTCCATACTGGTGCTACATACTAGAGGGCTCCATACTGGTGCTACGTACTCCAGTATCGGTGTTACTTGTGACGTACAGTCATCTGATAGCTAAAATATTAACATGTTTTTCTTTGACTCTGCGCTAGGCTGTGTGTGTTAAATACGTTGACAGCGTGTATCAGATGCGGTGACAGCGTGTGTTAAATACGCTGACAGCGTGCTTTAAATACGCTGACAGTGTGTGTTAAATAAGCAGACAGCAGGTGTTAATTACACAGACAGCAGCTGTTAATTACACAAACAGCAGATGATAACTGCACAAACAGCAGGTGTTACACAGACAGCAGGTGTTAATTATACAAACAGCAGGTGTTAATTACACAAACAGCAGGTATTAATTACACAAACAGCAGATGTTAAGTACACAGACAACAGGTTTTAATTATACAGACAGCAGTTGTTAATTATACAGACAGCAGGTGTTAATTACACGTACAGCAGGTGTTGAATACACAGAAAAACAGAGACGTTAGAGAGCTAAGTGTGACCTTCCCTGGGGTTACGACATTCCCTGGGGACACGACATTCCCTGGGGTCACGACATTCACTGGGGTCACGACATTCACTGGGGTCACGACCTTCCTTGGGGTCACGACATTCCCTGGGATCACGACCTTCCCTGGGGGTCACGACCTTCCCTGGGTCACGACCTTCCCTGGGGTCACGACTTTTCCAGGTGTCACGACTTTTCCTGGGGTCACGACTTTTTCTGGGGTCACGACCTTTCTTGTGGTCACGACCTTTCCTGGGCTCACGACCTTTCTTGGAGTCACGACTTTTTCTGGGGTCACCACCTTTTCTGGGGTAACCTTTCCTGGGGTCACCACCTTGCCAGGGAGATAAGCATCAGTGAGTGTCAGACAGAAAAAGAGAGAGAGTGAAGAGAGAGAGAGAGAGAGAGAGAGAGAGAGAGAGAGAGAGAGAGAGAGAGAGAGAGAGAGAGAGAGAGAGAGAGAGAGAGAGAGAGAGAGAGAGAGAGAGAGAGTGAGTGAGTGAGTGAGTGAGTGAGTGAGTGAGAGAGAGAGAGAGAGAGAGAGAGAGAGAGAGAGAGAGAGAGAGAGAGAGAGAGAGAGAGAGAGAGAAGAAGTAAAAGTAGGATGAAGAATTAGTAAGAAAGATTGAATATAAGAATGGAAATGAATGAATAGAAGACGAGGAGAAACACAAGAAGCAGAGGGAGAAAAGAAGAGAAGAACAGCAAGAAGAGAAGAACAAGAAAGAGAGGAAGAAAGCAACACTGGAAAACCGAAGCAAAAAAACAAGAAAAAAACAAAGAACAAAGCTACCGTCACTTAACAACTTAAATTCAAAAGTGCGTAAACCGGAACTGAAAACCGGAAGGAAGTTTCGGCCCTTCCTGGAGAACCATTAGGACGAACCGAAGCGTCGCGCAGCAGGGGTTGAAACAATCGTGTCTGACTCACCTTGGGTCTGTGGAAGAGTATGTCGTCTATTAGGAACGAGGTGGTTCCTCTGGAGGTGGACGCCGTATCCAGGAGGTTCGAATCCCTCTTGTTGCCAAGTAACTCCATCCTGAAGGTGGTGACACTGACGGTGGCAGCGACTCACGCCGAAGGAGACTCGTCTTGCTGACCTTGTATGACGAGAGACAACGAAGAGGAGGTTTGCCGGGAGTGATGGACCTTGTCCAGCGTTGGTAATGTTGCGGTTTGCGGTGATTCTAAGAGTTTAAGGAAAAAGGGGTAGCCGTTCTTGAAGGGGTAAAGGGGGTCTTTGGCAAAGGCTGGGGAAGGAGGGACGGGGAAGGGGGTGAGCACTAACAAGAGTACATACAGTTCGCCGATGACTACCGCAGGACGGGCTGGAGACCGTGAATCTAAAGCACCACACACGACTTCCGGCAGCCGGCAAGTCACTATCCGGCAGTCTCCAGACTTGCCCAAGGCGCGTTATAACCTCGTCAGCGTATTTTTTAGCGGGCGTTGGCGGTGGTCACTTGACGGAGGGCAAGTGGACCGGCGGTAATGGCGGAGAAGTGTGGCCCCCCACTTCTCTGCCTTCTCCTCCTGCTGCTTCAGCGACTGCTGATTGATGCGGCCACGACCTCAAAAACTCGCGATTTTCCCGTCCGATTATGACGGAGTCTTTTGGACCAATGGTAGGCGATTAGGTGGTCGTTGTTGGTGCATATTACCACAATCAGGACGGTGATCGCTGCTTACCTCGTCCAGCGCCTCGCTCTCCGCCAATCACCGACACCCTGGCCCATACTCTCCAAGAAGCGCAGCAAAATGGACCAATGAGAGCGGCGCCTGCCAGTACGGCCTGAGCGCCGACCAATGGGAGACGCTCCCGCCACTCCCCGTTAAGCTAGGCCACGCCCACCTCTCCGTTACGGAGAAGTGGCGGGAAGAAGATGAGAATATTACACAGAGAAAACTCGGCTCCAGCAACAATGAGACGCCGCCGGGAAATTGGTGAGTTGGGGGGAACAAGTGGTATTACTGGCGCGGCCCCGGGGGTGCCGGGGGAAATTTCCCCGGGGCCAATTAGGAAACACTGTTGACATACGATTCGCCGAGTAATTATCCTTGTCGTACGACCGGCTAATGACTCGCTAATTGCGACGCGTCATTACAGAGGCAATTTTAAATACGATGTTTATTTTTGTGAGAGCTGGGCTGTTAACAAGGCTGAGATCAAATGATTCTCGCTCCTTCTCTCTCCCGTCTTCAGAATATCAACATCATCTCGCACTTTCTTCACCAGAAAAAAAAATATCAAACAAAATTTTTGGCGTATGTTAATTAGATTCGCACTAGTAACCAAAATAATAACAAGAATTAAAAACTACACCTCACCGCTGCCACCAAATAAATAAATCCCCCCCACCAAAAAAAAAAAAAAAAAAAAAAACTCTCACTACACTTTTTTTTTTTTTTAAAACGGCGACAAATTCCCCAAAAATACGGGTCGTGTAAAAATGGCCGACCCAGATTTTTAGCCGTGGTCGGTAAGTGAATTAATCTCGGGTTCCTTTTTGGAATGGCTTTATGTAAATTCCGTAAATGATGTATTCAGGCGACACTCTCGCTTCCATTTACTGACGTTGGCTTCTCCATTTGTGCTCATATTTGCCTATTTACCAGCGTTAACCGTGTAACTTGTTCGTGTGCCGCTAGGTGTCGCTCCTGTGTCGTAATGTTACGTTCATCGTCGCTCGTGGCTGCTCGGACCTGACTGAAACATTCTGGCGATCACAAGTTTGTGTGTGTGTGTGTGTGTGTGTGTGTGTGTGTGTGTGTGTGTGTGTGTGTGTGTGTGTGTGTGTGTGTGTGCTCAATTCACCTAATTGTGGTTGTAGGGGTCGAGTCATACCTTCTGGCCCCGCCTCATCATTGGCCGCTACTAAGTCACATTTCCTGCTCCATGAGTTTTATCATACCTCTTCTTAAAGCTATGTATGGATTCTGCCTCCACTACATCACTTTCCAAACTATTCCACTTCCTGACTACTCTGTGACTGAAGAAATACTTCCTAACATCCCTTTGATTCATCTGAGTCTTCAACTTCCAACTGTGTCCCCTTGTTGCTGTGTCCCATCTCTGGAACATCCTGTCTTCGTCCACTTTGTCGATTCCTCTCAGTATTTTATATGTTGTTATCATATCCCCCCTAACTCTCCTGTCCTCCAGTGTCGTCAGGTCGATTTCCCTTAACCTCTCCTCATAGGATATGCCCTTTAGCTGCGGGACTAGTCTTGTTGCAAACTTTTCTACTTTCTCTAATTTCCTTACGTGCTTGGCTAGGTGTAGGTTCCAAACTGGTGCTGTATACTCCAATATTAGCCTAACGTAATCTACACCTGGAAGATTCTGGAGGGACTGGTTCCTAATATGCAAACAGCAATCACTCTATACGAAAGCAAAAGAATTGGCAGGCGATGCAACATACCCCCAGTGAAAAGTAGGGGCGTCACTGGTACACTAAGAGAAAACGCAATAAGTGTCCGGGGCCCAAGACTGTTCAACAGCCTCCCACCAGCAATAAGGGCATTACCGGTAGACCCCTAGTTGTCTTCAAGAGGGAGATGGACAGATACCTAAAGATGGAGCCGGATCAGCCGGGCTGTGGTCCGTACGTTGGATTGCGTGCGGCCAGCAGTAACAGCCTCATTGATCAGGCCCTGATCCACCGGGAGGCCTGGTCGTAGACCGGGCCGCGGGGGCGTTGATCCCTGGAATATCCTCCAGGTAGACTCCAGGTAGGTAGGCAGGTAAACGTACACGGTGTACAGTGTGCTGAATGATACCTTATTAAGATGTCGGAATGCTGTTCTTAGGTTTGCTAGGCGCCCATAAGCTGCAGTAGTTATTTGGTTGATGTGCGCCTCAGATGTTCCCGGTGTTATACTAACCCCAAGATCCTATTCCTTGAGTGAGGTTTGTGGTCTCTGGCTCCCTAGACTGTAATCCGCCTGTGGTCTTCTTTGCCCTTCCCTAATCTTCATGACTTTGCACTTGCTGGGGATGAACTACAGAAGCCAGGATTTTCCGTCCCTGAAACCGTGCTGGCTGTCGTTGATAAGCTCATTTCTTCCTAGGTGTTCCACCACTCTTCTCCTGATAATCTTCTCCATGACTTTGCATACTATACATGTTGGTGACACTGGTCTGTAGTTTAATACTTCGTGTCTGTCTCTTTTTTTAAAAACTGGGACTACATTAGTTGTCTTCCATACCTCAGGAAGTCGCCCTGTTTCTATAGATGTGTTGAAGATTGTTGTTAGTGGTACATACAGCGATTCTGCTCCCTCTCTCAGGACCCATGGAAAGATGTTATCCGGCCCCATCGCCCTTGCTGTATCTAGCTCGCTTAGCAGAGTCTTCACTGCTTCCTCGGTTGTATGTATTGTGTCCAACACTTGACGGTGTACCCCACCTCTATCTTTCTGGAGTCCTTCTGTCTCCTTTGTGATCACTTCTTTAAATCTCAAGTTGAGTTCCTTACACACTTCTCGGTTGTTTCTTGTGATCTCTCCTCCTTCCTTCCTCAGCCTGAGTACCTGGTCCTTGACAGTTGTTTTCCTCCTGATGTGGCTGTACAACAGCTTCGGGTCAGATCTGGCTTTCGCTGCAGTCATTTCTAGCTCTACGACTGCTCTCCTAATTCTCTTGGGACCTTTACCTTCTATACTTCTGTTCTCCAGCACATTTCGTTTTGGCCTCTCTACACCTTTGTGTGAACCGAGGGCTCGTCCTGGCTTTCTCGTTATTTCTTTTACCTTTGGGTACAAACCTCTCTCCTCAGCTTTCCTGCATTGTTGTTGTCACATATTCCACTATCTCGTTTACTGACTTCCCTGCCAGTGTGTTTGTCTGTGTGTATTTGTGTGTGTGTATTTGTGTGTGTATTTATGTGTGTGTGTGTGTGTGTGTGTGTGTGTGTGTGTGTGTGTGTGTGTGTGTGTGTGTGTGTGTGTGTGTGTGTGTGTGTGTGTGTGTATGTGTGTGTGTGTGTATATGTAGAGTTGTGTCCCATCTTCTGTAAACAATCCATCAAGCCTTTATTTCTATATCATCAATGGTTGCATCACTGTTTCCTCTCATCAATCCTTCCATTGGTCAACAACCCTCTCTCAGTTGAACACAAACATCCATCTCATTAAATTCCGCCAGCCATCATACCTCTGGTAAAGTTGAGGAAGACTTGGCATTATTTGTTGAGTGTTGTAGGAGGCTTGAAGGTGTTTGTTGAGTGTTGTAGGAGGCTTGAAGGTGTTTGTTGAGTGTTGTAGGAGGCTTGGAGGTGTTTGTTGAATGTTGTAGAAGGCTTGAAGGTGTTTGTTGAATGTTGTAGAAGGCTTGAAGGTGTTTGTTGAGTGTTGTAGAAGGCTTGAAGGTGTTTGTTGAGTGTTGTAGGAGGCTTGAAGGTGTTTGTTGAGTGTTGTAGGAGGCTTGAAGGTGTTTGTTGAGTGTTGTAGGAGCCTTGGAGGTGTTTGTTGAATGTTGTAGAATGCTTGAAGGTGTTTGTTGAGTGTTGTAGAAGGCTTGAAGGTGTTTGTTGAGTGTTGTAGGAGGCTTGAAGGTGTTTGTTGAGTGTTGTAGGAGGCTTGAAGGTGTTTGTTGAGTGTTGTAGGAGGCTTGAAGGTGTTTGTTGAGTGTTGTAGGAGCCTTGGAGGTGTTTGTTGAATGTTGTAGAATGCTTGAAGGTGTTTGTTGAGTGTTGTAGAAGGCTTGAAGGTGTTTGTTGAGTGTTGTAGGAGGCTTGAAGGTGTTTGTTGAGTGTTGTAGGAGGCTTGAAGGTGTTTGTTGAGTGTTGTAGGAGGCTTGGAGGTGTTTGTTGAATGTTGTAGAAGGCTTGAAGGTATTTGTTGAGTGTTGTAGAAGGCTTGAAGGTGTTTGTTGAGTGTTGTAGGAGGCTTGAAGGTGTTTGTTGAATGTTGTAGAATGCTTGAAGGTGTTTGTTGAATGTTGTAGAAGGCTTGAAGGTGTTTGTTGAATGTTGTAGAAAGCTTGAAGGTGTTTGTTGAATGTTGTAGAAGGCTTGAAGGCGTTTGTTGAGTGTTGTAGGAGGCTTGAAGGTGTTTGTTGAATGTTGTAGAAGGCTTGAAGGTGTTTGTTGAGTGTTGTAGGAGGCTTGAAGGTGTTTGTTGAGTGTTGTAGAAGGCTTGAAGGTGTTTGTTGAGTGTTGTAGGAGGCTTGAAGGTGTTTGTTGAGTGTTGTAGAAGGTTTGAAGGTGTTTGTTGAGTGTTGTAGAAGGCTTGGAGGTGTTTGTTGAGTGTTGTAGAAGGCTTGAAGGTGGTTTGTTGAATGTTGTAGAAGGCTTGAAGGTGTTTGTTGAGTGTTGTAGGAGGCTTGAAGGTGTTTGTTGAGTGTTGTAGAAGGCTTGAAGGTGTTTGTTGAGTGTTGTAGGAGGCTTGAAGGTGTTTGTTGAGTGTTGTAGAAGGCTTGAAGGTGTTTGTTGAGTGTTGTAGGAGGCTTGAAGGTGTTTGTTGAGTGTTGTAGAAGGCTTGAAGGTGTTTGTTGAGTGTTGTAGGAGGCTTGAAGGTGTTTGTTGAATGTTGTAGAAGGCTTGAAGGTGTTTGTTGAGTGTTGTAGGAGGCTTGGAGGTGTTTGTTTAGTGTTGTGGGAAGATTTTAAGTGTACTTACAGTGTTGGATCAGGCTTGTATGTGTACTTACAGT